TATATTGTGTGTAATAAGTCAGAAATAATGAAGGACGTGCAGATTTAAAATGCCCTAAACCCAAAAAATTGCCAATAACAAAAGAAAAGCAACTGAGGAAGAGGAACAAGAGAAATGTGTGGTATTTTTACTGGAAAATATTTCTTAAAGTAGTTTGTTTCAGCTCTACAATGATTGAACGAGCTTTAAGAAGTAACCACTAAAACAAGTAAAATAAATCAGCTGAATGAGACACTGAAAGTCATTTGTGTAACTAAACGAAAGTACCACATCGTGTGATTTAATGAACGTCACGATTTGCCTAAAAAATGTCCCTACTGTTGTCAAACTCTTTAGCTACAGGACAAAAGAAAAGAGCATCTAAAATGATCTTCTCTTAATAGTCTTGACTCATTCGGGCCGATGTAAACTTGTCCATGGGAAGAGTCAGTCCATCCCTAAAAATAAGCACACCTACTGTGTAACAAACCCTGCCAATGGATATATCAATCACTATACCGTTGGGACCTTCTGCAGCCAGAAACCACACTTATTACACCATTACGGGTGTTTTTACAGAGAAAAAGATCCAAAACCACTCAATATGTTTGTGATTCATTCACAGGAAGGACATTCCCACTTCGCTGCGAGGCACATTTTAGGTCAGTGCTTCTCAAAGTTATATAAACAACTCCTCACAACTCGCAGCGGCTTATGATTTGTGAGCCTACGCTGCCACCTTGTGGCGTAACAGCGGTACTACAGCATGTGTGAGAGCCAGAGTACACGTAATGTCTCTGCTGAAGCATGATTTGATGGCTCATTAGCAGACTTAACTACCTTAGGTGTGATTTATTGTTCTTGACACCCGTGAGGATGCTCACTACACTTCTGGTTAATAATCTGTGCGGTCTCCCTTTGGTTGTATGAACTTTGAGCCGGTTCATGACAATAAACACGGAGAATATTTAAGTTTCTTGCTAAGATAACTACCTGAAGTTTAACTTAAAATACGTTACAACAATGTTTTAACAAAATAATGGAAGATTATTTAAAGATTTAGTAATTTAAGGACAAATCATGCAGCAAGGTGTCAGTCATCTGTGGCACGAGTAGGGGCAATTGTATTTTTTTATATAATTAGTTCAGATGATCCAACTTGTGGGCTTTAAATACATATATATATACACATACAACATGTACTTTCAAATCTACATATTTAACTTCTTTAAGTCTAGTAAGTTTCCTCTTAATTAGCTTTTAATTAAGATGTAATCAAATAAAGTTTGTGTGCACTTTTTGTAAAGACTGAAGCAGAAGTGAGTCCAAATTATATTAAAGACCTGATATTTGTGAGACATTTAAATACTTTCCTCGCTATTGAACATTTAACGCCTGAATTACAAAGTCTGGAAATCTGATTATTGAATTTAAATGCGATACAGTCCATTGAGGATTCAGATTCACATTGTAAGTTGTTTCCGTTTAATCTCATCTGTGTTGTGTTTATTAGTCATTTAAGCATGTATAAACAAAGCAGCGGTACACCTAACATCGTCATCCTGGGGTGTGTTCAAAAGAGCAATGCTTCACAAATGGGTTTATCAGATATGACTCACTACTTACAGGGTTTATGAGAGTGCATCGCGGGATTTATCTTTATCTTCAAACTGCAGTTTCAGTGGGCGGCTTGGTCTTTTTTTGGAAGAAAGCCTGACTAAGTGAGATAGAGTGCACTCCTCTATTTATTATCTATTTTAAGGGAACCTCTGGAGCTTCTCATCAACTATTTCTTTATCTCCAAGAGTTTGTCCATATTTGGTTTTTGCTGCCGGGGAAGTTTGGATGGCACGGCCATTAAAAACAGGCGCGTCAACATTAACAAAACATAACTCAGGAGTCAAAGTCGGCACAACTACAGTGCTTGACGGGCAGCTTATTATCACAAACACATGAAAGATTAACAGAGTGAAGTGCCTCGTAAAAGCAGCACTGACATCAAACACAGTCAGAAAGAATAACCCCCTAATATGTGAACCCATATTAGAGCTGCAATCTCTGTCGGATCACCTACTGATGATAAAGCTGAAGCTAGGAAGTCATAAAAGATTGTTAAAGCTTTTAAAAACAGGCAAGCTTTAATATAGTAGTGAGTCTCTATTAGAACAAGGCTAATGAGCAAAAAAAGGACTCTCTTACGTCCACATTTGGCACCTGTTGACTGTAACAGAGGCAGGCAGTCTTCATTGATTAATAATCCCTTTGCTCGGCATTTACTTCCGTAAAACAGGAAAATACTTAAAAGAAAAGTGTAAAAAGAAAGCTTCTATTACACACACACTGTTGAGAAAGGCCATGTGCAAGTTTTATGGGGAAATAATCACTAACGATTTGTGTAACGAAGTTTTATGTCTCCAAAGAATGAGGTCATGGAGATAAATTGCCCTATAAAAAAAGCCGTAAACGCACACTTCAGTTATCTTTGACGTTTAGTTGGCTGTGAAATGCACATTACACCTGCGTGTCATTCTTGTGGTAAAATGTGTGGACTGAAGAACCGAAAGTAACTTTGGCATTGTGAATTATTCCTCAATAACAGCCTTGTTTGACACACTGTGGAGGAATGACACTGTGTCTGCAGTCTCACCTGTATTGCTTAGTGATGTCCTTCCGCTTTTATTTCTGCGTCAAAACTTGCAGAGTCACTCTTTCCGGCTACTTTTTTTTTTGTGCAATAACTTGATCCACCACTTAAGTGCAATAAT